ATCGGTGATGTTCGCGATACAGCCGGACCAGCAGTATCCGGTGAAGCTCGACCAATACGACATCGCCGACATTCAACGTTTGTACGGTGAAAAAATTGAGAACGATAAGCCGCGTCGGACGCCAGCGCCGGCGCCACCGCCGCCGCCGTCGCCGGACCTGTGCAGCCTCGATCGCGTAAACGGGATATTGATTTTGGAAAATCGAATGTACATCTCGTACAAACGTTACGTTTGGTCGGTCGATCTGGACGGTAGGACGTACAACGGACCTTTAGCCCTCTCGAAGCACATGAGCTTTCTTCACGACAATTACACGCGCGTGACCGCTGCCTATCAATCCCCGTCCGGCGATCTCATGGTGTTCGTAGATAATTTAGTATACTTGGTTCAATATCCGGAATTTAGTCTACGGCCAGGTTGGCCGAAGACCCTGCAAGAACTCGGATTTCCCGAAAACGCGCTGATCAACGGAGCGGTGAACACCCACAGAGGACGTTCCTACGTGGTGTACAACGGTAACGCGGGGGGCGAAAAAAACGAAACCCACCGGAACAAGAGAGTCGCCAAATTTACGCCCCTCGAGGCGACGTTTCCCGGAATACCGAAAGGCGTGACGTCGATATTCCGCTACATCGACGGCAATCTGTACTTCACCACTCGGTCGCAGTTTTATAAATTCAACGAATTTACGAGGACCGTCTCGTCGGCCGGTAAATTCGATCTGCGGATACTGAATATCGTCTGCCCTAAGGCCGAACTGATGCAGCAGTTGCGCGATCTCCTCGATCGAATCGTACGCTTCAACGATAACTCGCTAACGTCGGCGAGCGATTATTGGAACGATGACGACACCGGAGTTCGGCTCTCCGATTTCCGCATCCGCCGAAGGAAGTAGACTACCGCGCAAATTTTCCACACCGCGCCACGCGCGACATAAGTCAAATCTTTCCTACTTATACCGGCATGTCCCTTCCAAGGCATCAGTGTCGCGTCGTCGGCCGAATACGACGCGTCGGGAAAAAAATCAGAAAGGAACGGTTACCGCGGCGCGAAATGTTCTCGACGTTGGCCGATCGACCCGCGCCGAGGAGTATTTCTCCTACGGAGACGGCGGATTCGGAGGCGAACGACAACGACAATAAAAGACGGAGGATCAGTTCGATGGACGATCGCCATTATCTTCCTCGTCGTCAGGAATCGCGTCGCAGCTCTCATCCTCCAACCGACGCGCCCGTCGAGGACGATCGTCGTCGTCATCATCAGGAGTTTCGTTCCAACTTTCCCGTCGAATTGCCCCCTGTGCTCATCCTGACGACGCGTTATCTGCTGACGACGACTGGCTACAAGTACATAGCCATAGGTATCACGATCAAGACACCGTGGTACAGTCTTCATACCACGCCTTCGTACGTGGATATCGCCTTGGGGGACAAACAAGGAAGGGAAATCTCCCTGACGCTCGACATGTGGAAAGGACTGATCGAGCGCAAACGCGACGTATTGTCGTGCATGGAACGCGCTCTTTCCGACGTAACTCACCCCCCCTCGCCGATGTCGATCGGAGGGATGACAATGCGATTCGGAGTGATCAACAACGGGCCGATCGTACGCATAGAGCTACCCAACCTGGCTCGCGTGGCGATGGTGCGCACAACCCTGCTCAAGCTGTACAATCTGCAATTTTGCGTGGATCGCGTCATCCGTGCGCTGAACGCGGCGACCGAGGAGGTCGACGCTAAGTTTTTGCGCTATCGGGAGATAGCCGCCGCCGCGATGAAAATAGAAACTTCGATTCAGCCTGAGATACAGAAGAGCGATTTCTTCGATCCTGACAACATCATCGACTGCGAGATAGCCGCGCTATGTTTCGACTCCTTATAACGATGTCGCGTCTACGAAATGCATATATTCGCACGAGCGAAACAATGTAAACGCGCTTGTATTATTTTTTTGAATAAAAAAAAATCTATATGCGTATCTCATCTGTGCACTCTCTCTTTCCATTTTCCCCCTTTTTTCCCAAATCCGTATACCCATGTCAGCGACCGCGACGCCGAGTTCGAACGCGCGTCACGTAAATTATCGCGAATCATGAATTACAGGTCGAACGCGAGGTGAATGAAAAAAAAAAAAAAAAATAAAACATTGTCGCGCGTCGATC